TCCCGATAAGTCCAAACCAGTAAATCCAAAATTAGGGTTTTCTAAACCCTAATTAGGGTTTCCAACCCAATCATAACCCAATTAGTCCATTAGTTAAGTTTTTAGGTTAATTAATTATTAATTAAGTTTGGCACCACCCACTACCACCTCGGGTAGTGGTGGTTAATGGCGGCTCACGGTGGTGGTGACGGATTTTCCTTAATTATTCCGATCAAATACAATGTTACAACGCAATATCCAAATAAAAGCACACAAACAAATAACACATACACACACACCCAACCACCTTTGTGGCGACAAGCAGTGGTTGGAGGTGGCAGCCACCACCTCACGGTGGTGGTGGTGGTTTTTCTCATTAAATCCGGCCAAGCAACGCCACACACAATACACTCTTTCTAATCGCAACATGAATCCAGCCACCCACCTGGTGGTGTACGGCGGCGGCGATGGCACGAGACGGCGGCAACATCATCGGCTAATGGCGGCAGCCACCATGGCAGCCATGGTGGTTTTCTTGAGTTTTTTTGTTTAGGAACCACACACATACACACACCTGGAACACGGAAATACCGGGTTATGCACTCAATCAACAACTTGTGGTGGTATATGGTGGTTGGAGATGACATCCACCACCGCACGGTGGTGGTGGTGGCGGGTTATCTTGATTCCCAGCCCAAAATAACGCACGTACTATTATTAGCTCCGAAAGCAGCCCTTAAAGGCAAACACACACGCATTCGGCCACCTTAAAGGTGGCAGGACATCGTCAGCATGCAACCGGAATGGCGACCAACGGCGACGGTGGCCAAAACGACGATTACGGCCCTATACAACCAAAAGGAATGAAAGAGATGAAAGATAGCCTCACCGGGAGCATTCCGATCGCGCATGACTCGTGTTCGTCGGTCATAGCTCCGTCTTCGCTCTTGATGGGATTTTTCTGGACATTCACGGCTTCACCGACGGCAGCAAGGGAGGTGACGGTTGAAGAAGGAGAAGAAGAAGAATGGAGGAAGTTTGGTGCTTGCTTGGCGGCCACTAGCTGATCGGAAAATACATGGATGGCGACGCCGGCAGTGGAGAAGGAGGGTGCGGCCGGTGGGGGGAGACATAAGGTGGCGGCTGATTAAGGTTCCTAATGTTAGGGTTTCGGCAGGGTTATATACCCGGCACCTTTTAAACTTTTTGACATAATGACAACAATGGCCCCTCCCTCCTGAAATAATTTCGAAACAGCTCCCATATTTATCCATTATACCCCTGCTCCTATAATTCTTTTCATAATAAGTCCAACAGTTACTAAACAGCCCCTCCTTAACAAATTACTCTCAAATGAAGTCCATATGTTACCATTCAGCCCCTTAGCCCCCAAAATCTCTTCAAATTAAGTCCCAATAATCTACCAAGTAGTCCCTGCCTTCATAAATATTTACGAAACCAATCCGAAACTTACACTTTTAACCCCTGACTTCTAAAATTGTGACAGTTAGCTCCTCGAGACCAACACTTTCTATATAATTATTGATTTTAGGGCTACTATTCATTTATTAATTTGTTTATTTATTTATTTGATAAACGGAGTGTTACAAGTAGCCATCGTGTCTTTTTTAAATCAACTTATTGTGATATGATTTTGTTAAATTGTAGACCTAGTTCGATCTCGGTCATGTATAACTTTCTTTTAATATGTAAGATAACGGCTTGTTTGATAGGTTAATGTAATGTACTCTTTAAAAATAAAAAAACTTGAGTGTACTTTATTTTATTCAGGTGTTACAACTTCTAAACCCACTTTTTGAATACCTTATCTTATATGTGAATGTGTATTGCATGATTGTTTGTTTGAAAAAAATTCAACAATATTTCCTCTTAGCTCCCAAGTATATAAAGAATATATACACGAGGAGCAAATATAAAATGACAACCAATTTTTTCTTAAACAAATAATCATGCAATACACATTTACATTCTAAATGAGATAAAGTAATCAAAAAGCAGTCACAACATGGGGACAACCCAAAATTAATTTCTAAATCAATTTTGGGTGGGTATTTCTAGACTCTTGATGATTATACAGAAGAGACTTAAATTAAAAATTAATAATTTAACGTGTTTTCATACTTTTGTTAGTTATATCATCATACTTTTATAAATATAAAAAAGATATGAAAATAAAATGCTTTAATAAACAAACTAATAAAATTATGTTGCTATTAATAACCTTTGTAGTGTTCTTTTCTTTAATAGCAACGTACTTTTATTAGTTCGTTTATTAAATCATTCTCTTGTCACTTGCTGTTCATATCTATAATATTTATCACATCTTATTTTCGAGTTTTTTTTTCAGTTATAACATTATACTTTAAACATTCATATTACCTAATTAAAACAACAACTTGAACTTATCACTAACCACTTATCATGAATTTAAATACAACCACATTAACTTATTAATTATGCACTTTATCATTTCATCATATATGCACTCAAACTAATAAACTTAAACAATAAACACAATCATATATATTATACATCTAATTCTAATTGCATACAAATATACAATACATCTACACACAAAATCAAACAAATTATGATTATACAACACATCCAATTCCAAAATCACAATGGGTACAAAAATAAGCAAAATCATATTTTTAACCAAAATTAGAAAAAAATAATAATAACAATAACAATAATAATAATAATAAACACTAACATGTTCTTCCTTCTGTGGTCGCCGGATTCCGGTGGTGGGTGGTCGTCACTGGAGAAACACCAAATCAGAAAAAACAAAAAAAAAACTCGATAAATCAAATATTCTTAAATTTGTTGGCGGTGCTGAAAGAGGCCAGAAGAAGAGCGGAGCCGTCGGATGTGCTCGAGTGACATCCTAACTGGAAAATAAACAAAAACCTAGAACAATGTCCCCAAATCTCAAAATCAAACCTCTAAAAGAGTAGAATCAGAGATAGGGAGTTTCCTAGATGTTAATCGACGGTCGACGGTGAAAGAGGTGAACGGAGCAGACGATCACCAGTGAGAAATCGAGAGAAAGATGTGATGGTGTGTCGTTGCAATTGAGGAAGACGACTAGTATCTGCAATAGGTTAAAACCCTATGTCGACAACAAATCGTCAGTATAGGGTAACAATCATAGCTCCATCTTCGCTCTTGATGGGATATCTCTGGCCGTTCACGACTTCACCGACGGTAGCAGGGGAGGTAACATATGATCCATAACATGTATACGATATAATTTACATTAACGATTCAACCACAACATACGTCGATTGTATTACAAAAAATACTAAAACGAAGAAAAAAAGAATTGATATACAACAAAGTTACAAATTAAATGCTATAACATAATAAAATGCATCAATAAAATAGTAAAAGTATCTCAAACCAACACAAAAATCTTTAAGCGTGCTTTCTTTTCCAATTTAGCATGTGATTTGTTTGATTGTCTACTCGAAATATTACCCTTTTATAGTTATATTTCCGTTAAGTGCATATTAAATGTAATATATAAGTTATAAAACTTTTGAATGTTTAAGTCATTATTAAGAAGACTTTAGAGTGATATTAGTTAAATGGTGAGGTTTCAAATAAATACGATTTGAGAAAAATAATTATATTATTAGATACAATGTGAATATTGGTCTGTTGTACAACATAAAATTATATAGTTAAAGCTTAGCAAGTATATTTTGAAAATAATTATGTTATTGATACTAAGTATGAAAAAATATTTTTTTTACACTAATTTGTTATACAAAATTATAATGATTTTGAATTGTACTATAACATCTATTAAAATTATCATTTAATAGCCGTTAGTTGCAACTTATGTGTTTATGGTGAATAAAACTAAATATAATTGTCTATTAAATGTTACTTATAACATTATGATAAACTAATTTAGAAATTATTTATTTGATATTTTTTTGTAAGAAATATAATGTAATTTATAAGGTTGTGTTATTTTTAATTATTATTATTTTTAATTGATTTAAAAACCATTTATTTGAAAATTTTTAATTATTATAAAAAATATGTTTTGGATATTTTAGTTAATTCAACATGTCCATTTGGTTTTAAATTTAAACCATTCAAAAAAGTTGTTTGTAAAAAACTGAGGCCCATTGTTATGGTTTGCGTTTTTGTAGTTATTGAACACTTGTATTCAAGAAACGTGTTGATTTTTTTTTTTTTTTTTTTTTTTTTTTTTTTTTTTTTTTTGAAAGGGCAAACTCTACACGTTAAAGTTTGATAGTATTTTAGCTAGTAACCCTACCAGAATATATGGGCTTTGTTTACTGATAGTGTTGCATCATGATTGGTAGGAGTGGTAGAAGAACATAACATTGGCGAAACTGCATGGGTGAAGAATATATACCATGTCCTTTTAACTGCAAAAGAGTTGTGTAATGTTGCCAAGAGCTGGAAACAACGCACTAATTTCAGGAATGGATGCAGTTTACAAGCAAATATCAACTACAATCAATGTTGGCAAGGCAGACTACGGCATCAGAAAACAGAAGAATTGCAGAGTAGTATATGGTGAGCAAGAGTAGAAACTTAGTTTGTGTGTTTCATAGGGTTCGGCTCCAGCTGATTTATAGGTAAAATACAAAGACCTGATCAATTCAGATATTCTAATCTAATCCTAATGTATTCAGCAAGCTCTAGCAATTCAGGCCAAAATTTTCGGTCGACATCAAACTGATGCGAGAGTGTAGTTACTTTCTAAAAAGATACCCTCTCAATAATATAAGAACCTCAGGTGTACATATTCAAGAACAATTACCTTAAGGGATACCTCATTGGAAACCATTTACCCTTAATATATTACAAGAATATATACCTCTATAATATTGGTCATTCGTCATCACCAACCCACCCATCCTCACCCCCTATATAGACCTCCACCCTCGTACCAAATCTCACTATCTTCGATATCCATATTCTTCACTTTCATAACATATCGGAAATAAACCATGTCGGGTGTTTGGGTGTTCAAGAATGGTGTTGTTAGGCTAGTGGAGAACCCAGGTGCTGATGCCTTGCAAGGTGCAACTCGTGGCAAGGTGCTGGTGCACCTACCCACGAACCAAGTGGTCACTTCATACGAGGTTCTTGAACGAATGCTAACATCTATGGGCTGGGAAAGGTACTATAATGATCCTGACCTTCTTCAGTTTCATAAAAGAACGACAATTCACCTCATATCTCTCCCAAAAGACTTCAATAAGCTCAAGTCAATGCACATGTATGATATCGTCATCAAGAATCGCAATGTCTTTGAAGTAAGAGACACCTAATAAACTCCTGCTTGTCGTGGTCTTGCATATATACATGGCTCGTTCCCTGGATCCAAATTTTCTTTCTAGTTACATGTATGTTTTGATCGTTCGTATTCCGGGATTTCCGTCATAAAGTTTTGATTTGTACTGTTTCTATATATGGCTTTCAAGTATTTGTATATGATATCGTCTTTTGTTTTTATTATATGTACAGTTAAGTTCTTGTATGTATGATGTAAGCCTTTTTTTTTTGTTATTTCTTTGTGGTGTGATCAATACCTAATCTAACATGATAAATCAAAATCAGTTTTGTTAAATGTGATATTCTGAATGAATTTGGCACGTCTCATTTCTAGGATTTATTTAATTTTTTTTTTCATTTTCAATTTCCTATGTTTTTCATTTTCTTTTTAATTACTAAGGGTTTATATAAGATTATTTTATTAAATGACCAAATAAATATTCCACAACTGGTTCTTTTCTTACTAATTCAAATCTTATAGAATTAAAGTTTAAATTACTAATATCATACATTCAATTGATTTTGTCATTCCCACTTTATATTAAATTTTTATTTTTAATAAATGTATGTATTACACGTCTCTCACACCTAATTACTTATAAAGAGTGTTCATATCATCTAATTTGTGGTATAAACTTTTTACGTTAAGCCGGAGGGTATGGATATAACCGCACCAAACGGCTTGCTAATTGGGACTAGAACCGAACCACGGAACACCTCACAATGGGTAAAGGACGTTTAAGTGAGGGGTTTCTCGATACGATAGCCTCCTTGTACTCTCATTCTCTGATATTGCTACAAAATGTTTTTTTTTCTTTTATATATATATATATATATATATATATATATATATATATATATATATATATATATATATATATAACACCCCAATTTTCAAATATCGATTAAATGATAAATAATCGTTCCAACATCTCCCAATATCAATTTTGAACTTACTTATAGATTAAACTACAGCGGAAGCAAAATAAAATAAAATAAAGTTATTAATTGAACAACTTCAGGTGTTACATTTTTGCGGAATTCCTCTTTCGTCGTCTTGATCAATCCTTCTCCTTGGACTTTTCTCTGCCACTTGCTAAATAATTTTCTGGGTTGCATACATTTAAAGTTTCTAAATGGGGAAGGCTAAAGCCTAGTGAGTTCGTGTTGCACATACATATCCATCACTTAGAAAAATATAGTAGTTTTATCATATATCTTTAATAAATCATACAACAAACATATCACCCGGTGACATAATTTAGGGAAACGATTAATTATCCATAGAAAGAACCAAATGTTCATTTCCCTTCTCCTTGAAACAACTCATCATCCATTATACTCAAGTATTTTAAATATCCAAGGAAATGAGTATAAATCTCAATTCTCATCCCCGCCGATCACATACATCCGTCATGCTCATGGCGATAAACACCCCACCCGTTCCCACTAAACATGTCACCTAAAAAAACGCACAATAGATAAACAACTCAAAATAACATTTGCACACAATCATACTTATCATAAAATATACTGTGAATAAATAATTGAAAACCGCATATAAATCGCATGATAAACATTTATGTGCGAGCAACCACAAAACACGAAAAAAAAAACTCACATCGTTGTTGTTAGGTCTTAACCGAATCTTGTCGCACTATACACACCCTATATTCCACCAACAAGTTTCCTAAGACAACATCCTAGAAAACATCCTATGAGTTCATGGTATGGGTTAATTATATGTCTCTGTTTTCGTCCAAGAAGATGGGTAATTAAAAAACGAATAGTGGGTCTTTGGAAAAAAAAAATGAATTTTAGAATGTTGTGATGTTTCCTTCAAAATTTTAAATATTGATTTATGTTAGTAAGTTTTGGAGATAGACCATGATGATTTTTACATAACTATTTAATGGTTATTCGAGAATATTGGAGCTGTGAATAAAATATATAAATGACAGAAAAACAAAAGAGATGGATGTTTGGGTTAAGAAGGAGGCTGATCGGATCCATTTTTGGGTGGGTCTAATGCAAAGAGTGGGTTCTGCTTTATACAAAATGTTTTTTTTTTTTTTTATAATATATATATATATATATATATATATATATATATATATATATATATTAAAACTAATAAAAATATATATATAAAAATTTACGCCTTTTAATTCTCTATAAAAAAATGTAATATTAGTCTTTAATATATTTTAATAAAATAAAAAATAAGGAAACTATGAAAGAAAATTAATCTGGTGTTGAGGTGCCACAAAAAAAGTGAAGGTAAAAAATAGTACACTCCCTGAACTTATATATTTGAAGAATATATTTTAACCATTTGAGAATATATATATATATATATATATATATATATATATATATATATATATATATATATATATGATTAAATGTGAATGATATATACTCTATAAATATATGACAAACTTTGGACCATTAGATATATACTCTATAAATATATGACAAACTTTGGACCATTAGATTAGATTTGTATATGGTTAAGATATGGTGTATAATAGCTACAATGGGAAAATACATATAAACATTTCTTTTTAATAAATGAAAATCGTAAAAAGTAATTATAAATGCATGATTGACATTTTGATTAATTTTCATTATATATATATATATATATATATATATATATATATATATATATAATAACATTATAAAAAACTTAACATTTCAGTCTCTTACATCTCATTCTTTTAAAACCACTTTAGTTCTGTGTTTCATTCTTCACTAATCGTTTTTAGTTAAACATCTTATTCTTTAAGAATATGTTTCAATTCTGTATTCCATTGTTATGCATTCAATTCAAGAATTATTTTCATTTTGTTAACCATTCTATTGCATGAAAAACAAAAAAAAATACCATATTATATCCATTTTCAGTTAAAATATGAAAAAAAAAAATATAAGAAATTAAACATATGCTACATGTGTTCATATTCCTTAAGAATGAGATAAAAATTCCACAAAAAAAAACTCAAATCCTAATAGTAAACCATATCATAACACAAAAAAATTAAGGATCCAATAAATGTCACAAAAAACATTTATAGTCGTTGGCATTCCTAAATATTGTCGACCACCTGGATTTTTTGTCCTTTTCTTTCTTCTTGCATGAGTTGTTTTTTCTAGTAAGACAAGCTTCCTAAATGCTTGCAATACAATTCTTGAACAATCGCTATGCTAAAGAACCTGGAACCTTAAGTTCAACAAATTAGCACAATATAAAAGCATACAAAAACAATAAATTAATTAACAACACAATTCAAATAGAATATCATCAAGATCAATGACATGTTGTCACAAGTTAATCAAATTCGACAAGAATGTTATTAATATTTTAGAATGTTATCGTACTAACAATAAAATTCTTCAACAAGAGCCACATGCACAACACAATGACAACACAATTCTAAAAGAAAAGGCACATTATAAGAACTTTACTTGTACTCTTCAATAATTTATAAATAACTATAACCTAAATTAGTATTACACTAAACAAATTACCCTTATTCTATGATAAATAATCCAAGGAAAATGCCCACAAATTTAACATTTAACAATATTTATAGCATATTCTAGAATCTAAAGACACTTATATAATAAATTTGAGGATTCGAACCTCAAAACGAATGATGTCTTTAAGAAATCAAATTTGGTTTGGGAAATCATCCTTGAGATGCAATATGCAACTGGTGAAACAAACGTGAAGTAACTTAAGGAAATTAAAATATTGTAAATTATTAGCATTCTTCTAGAATTATTAGCGTTCTTGCATAATAATTAACAATCGCTAACAAATATGGTTGTATCTTTGAATACACAGTAGTATTGTTTAGGAAAAAAACAACATTCTTTAAGAATAATTGCTATATTATTCAAGATTATTTGCTAAATTCTTAAGAATGTCTCCCTACTTCTATGATGACTAGCACATTCTAAAAAAATATTTGCAATATTCTTAAAGAATAAAACTAAACTAAAATCTTATTACGTTCTTTAAATAGATTACACTCAATAATCAACTGAAATTGCACTATGGTATTCAAGAAAAAATAGGCAATTCCTAAAGAATTTAAAAATCTATATCACATTATTGACTATCGCCTTCAAATATAAAGGTCTAAAAAACCCTAACCCTTTCTCTGCATTTTGTTTCTCGCGGGAGCTTGGAATTGGAACTGTAGCAGTGTATTGTTTCTTTTAATATATTTTCTACATTTTTATCTTGTTTAAAGATCACCATGATCCATTTAAGATACCTATTTCACTAGAAAGAATTTGAAGAATAAATTGTATCAATCATAATCATAACTGAGACAGATGAGAAGTTGATGGCCAATTTTTCTCCTTTTTTTAGGAACGATTGGTTTTACCTTAACATATAGATAACGATTTAGTACAGTACACGATCCATGAAGGATACACCTTTGATTTGGTACACGATCCATCAGACATCAATAATATCTTGATTCTTGATTTGCATGTGTAGAATCAAAGAAAGATGACCGATTACGGCATATGAGGGAATGGATATCGTGAAATCGTGGAGATGATGAAGTCCAGAAGGTGAAGGTCGTGTTAGGCGTGATCTTTAAATTCTCTGTCTTTTATTTTTTAATATTCCTTATTTATAGGTTGTTAATTTTGGATAATAATTGTAAAATTGCAGAACTTTCCTTATAAAATGATTGGACCATATTTGGTCATACAATCAAACAATAGTTGTGGTATATATATATATGAACCTAACTCTCTCTCTCTCTCTCTCTCTCTCTCTCTCTCTATATATATATATATATATATATATATATATATATATATATGGCTTTTTGCTTTAAAAGAAATGAAGTTTTGACATTTTTGACCATCAATGTATGAAATTGACTTGATTTAGCTACCGAAGATTTGATCACACTAAATTGGACCCCCAACATCTCATTTTTAGCTTGATTTGGCCCTTAAAATG